AAGTACACTAGTCTTCAGCCCAAAATTCTAGAGAAAAATTGGTGACTACTGAAGTTATTTATTTTCATTATTCTCACCATCACATCATCAAATTACTTAAATCCTAAAGCCAGCATCCTGCTTAACTTAGAGTCCCACTGAGGCCAGGCATTTGCACCTTAAATGCAGGTTTCTACAGAAATGCAATGAAGTTGAACATAAAGGAAAGGGTTACCCCATGGCCCTGAAATGCTATGCCATGCTATGTGACAACTTTTTAAAAGTGGAACAGTCTTAAAGAATAGTTCAACATTTTAGTTAGTTGAAAGCTGTTAACATAGTTTCTGGAGAACTAGCCTTGGTAATAAAGTTAAATTTAGAGTAGCTTTAAAACAAGTACTTCTGTGAGAACTGAAATAATGTACCCTGGCTACTACTTATGACTGTCAAAGATATCAATAGCATCAAATACTTCAGGATTGAAATATATATATATATACACACACACACTATTTTTAGGATGAACCAATGAATCAGCCAGCAGATTCCCATAATTAACATGAATGCCTAACCCAAGAGTGAGCTCTATTTCTTAGCAAGTTTAGTAATAAACAAAATGGAAACAAAAAATAGCATCTTCCAGTGAAAATGTTATAAGTTCTTCATTCAACACATTGCTGATGATTAGATTGGTGATACACAATACAGAGGAGAGAATGGTAGAGAAATGCAAATTCATTTTGAGGATGACTTACAATTTAAAGGACATACGAAATTTCACTGGGGAAAGGGGGAGAAAGCCACACATTTCTAAACAAGAATGACTAAAGAACTATTAAGTTAATCAGCACAGACAATGCATGTTTATTTATTCCAGCATGTTTGCACTTACTTTCACTATATGTGTACAGTTCTGGCAAAGTGCTTTACATAATTATTCTTTGAAGAGAATCATATTGAAATACCATTCCTATTTACTAATAAACCAGGAATTTCCAATAAAATTGTAGAAAACAGATCTTAAAAACCATCAGCCAAACAAAAAGAAGATATAAGTATGAGAGATTTTTTTCTATTTGAAAAAGAGGGTAGTAAAACTTTTATTTCATTCTTCTTTTCCCAGAAATGTTGATTACAGTTTGTATCAGCAGTTTTGAAAATATCAGCTGAAAACTCCTCAGGATACATGAACACTTCTCTAAGAGATTTGCAAGAAAAAAATCTTGTAATGCAGCATATTTAACCTCCTCATAATGCAGTGCAACTTGGCCATCAATATACTAAAATCGAACTGAATTGAATTAAAATGTGCATGTTGTCATCTTCTTACCTGCAATAACTGAATTTTTCACCTACTGACAAGAATCTATCAGTTATTTTAATTTCAAAAGACACTCAAATTATTAGTGTCCACTAGATTAGATGAACCCCATATTACTATGCCTTTTCTTTTGTTTTTCTTTATTCTTTCACAAAGTATATATTAGAAGTACAACTTTTCTGCCAGGCACTTACAGACAGAATAGTTTTCCAGATTTTCTAGAACTAGTGCCCCAGTCCCTGCACAAGAAGCTAAGAAAAGTAACTACATTTTCTGACCACCCATTAAGCAGTATCTTCACAAAAAATAACTAAAACAAACAAATGAAATATTTAAATAAATACAATATTTTTGGAGGAGTAAAAGAGAAAGCATGATTATGCTACCTTTGGGACAATATGAATATTATCTGAAAAGCAAATTACCTTCCAGAATACAGGGGTAATAGTCCCAAATGAGTCCTTCTCCTTTAGCTGTGTGTAACTGCTCTAGCAATGAACCACAAGGCACTGCTGAATCTCCAGCTCTCATGAGCTGAACTGGCGCTGTGTTCATGACATGAAAACAATATCTTGTGGGCTCATGCTGTCAGGTTAAGGGGTCCTGCTCAGGTCTCCTCAATTCAATCATGTGTTGTGCTGCCTGTCACTGCCCTCTGGCCAGGGTGTCATACATCACCTGTATTTAATTAGCAAGGAAACCCCTCACTGTCCAGGCTTGTTGCCAGCCCAGACACCAACTGCTTTCTGTGCTCCTCCTCCTCATGACCTCATGAGCTTTCCCCACTAGCTGTGGGTATGCCTAATGAACAAAACTAGTTGTCCACCTTCATAGTTTTTTATATCTTAACAACAGGACAGGAGTGAAGGGAGGCCACAAATTGTCCTTTCCTTTCAGAAAAAAAATACCAAGCTTTCCTTGTCCAAAATTCTGACATATGGACCACAAAGCTGTGCCATCAAGTTAAGGTATCCGTTTTCTATCATTACATATAGGTAGCAATTGGTTTGTATTTCTCCAGCATAATTATAAATCTCACATTTTCTCCAACTTTTAAACTAATTGGCTTTAAGAGAAACACCCCCAGATGTTTCAAGACCCATAAATCAGCCCTTTTCAATGCGCCCATAGGATCATTCTGGCTTGTCTTCCTAACAGAACTTGAAAGTTCTTAAAGGCTTCCAACTCACTGGAGATCAGGAAAAAAATCAACAATTCCCCTCAGGCTTCAAGCTACCAGGTTTACATAGGATTATTCTTTCACTCTCTGGGAAAAAAAAAAAAGTAATCCAAAGAGATAATAGTTTCAAAAGTGGTGCTTTCCAAGGAGTGAAATTAATAGGTGTCAGAAAGTACTCAGTTAATCAGCTGGCTGGAGATATGCAAGCACTGTCCTGATTGACACCTCAAAATGCCTCTCACCCGGGGAAAGTTCATGGAATTATGGTTTTGGTGCAAGTTAAGTCATGCTGTGAGACAAAGTCTGGTAGAATAGCAACTCACTGCCACCAGAATAGAATAGGTACATGAAGTTAAAGGCAAGACAATTTTGTTTTACAAAAGCAAACTGAAGGCTATATAAGGCAATATATAAAGCATAAATAAAATATACAATCAATTTCTTGCATGAAAGATGACTTACCCCACAAGATGAGTAACCCACAGAGGCAATGGAACAATGCACTGCTGCTGAACAGTGGCAAGACCAGAAGAATGAATTTCATCATGCATGTCATACTGCTCTCATGACCAGGCAGAGAATATTCTTCTCATCCTGCACTGTGTTTAGACACTCCATGGACATAGTTGATGTTGTTTTTCTTTCAGCTTATGTGCATTTTTCTCTTAGTTTATATTCCTTATATGTACAAAAATATTATTCATGGTTTGTTTTGTTTTCTCTTCTCCCTATATGAACAGCTCTAGAAAAACTAGATTTTACTTTTTGAAGCTTCATGAGCAAGGATATCTTTGACTACTCTTTCTGCACAAGAATTTGTACTGAGTGGTTAAAAGCAATAGCATGGACTCATGGCATGAAGAATGCATTTAAATCATAGCAACTGAAACTCAAGAGTATCTTGAAGCATCCACTCTGATTCTCAGAACAGGCATTTTTGTCTGTTTCAGTTAAAATTATTATCAATAGGGTGAGACCTATAAACTGAAGAATTGCTTTTGTCCTTTGTGGTAAAACAGGGAAAGGATAGTGCTGCTGTGCTTTGAGGGTGTCTGCTGCATGGCGGGAAATCATCCTCTGAATCCTCTCTCCTCTTTTCAACACACACAATGCCTCTGAACACCATCTGCCCTGAGAAAGGCCCTCCCTGCCTTGAACATTTACCCTACTTACTTTTGTTTTGGGTTGTGCTTTGTTCAGTTTTCAGGATCAGGGAAGGATGAGCTGCCTAAACAAGTTCAACTTATGCCCTGAAGTTTTTTGGTTTTGTTGGGTTTTTTTTTCTTTCTGTAAAATATACAAATGGATTTTAATTATTAAGAAACAACAATTTGAAGCCAGTTGCCCAAAGGAAACGTGCTTGGCTACTTCTTAGCACCACAAGAAATCCTTACAGAAAAGGCTATGGAGCTGGATGAACACTCAAGCTGACACAATGAAGCATTTTAATCAACTTAGCCACCAGCTTGAAGAGCTCTGTCTCAAAACGAGTGAGACAAATACTTGTCTGAATATTTGGTCTGGATCTTTCCCTCTCCTTTATCTGTGGGGATGCAGGCAACCTTTTAAAACTCTCTGCTGACAGCTTAAATAAGTGCCTTTCCCAAGTCTTTGGCAATCTTTCACTGAATTGAACAGAGGAGCATCTGCACATGTTTTGTTGTCCTTTTCCACAGTGCACCACTGAATATTGCTTCCTTTCTTCTTGACAATAAACCTAAGTTCTATTCATGATTGCAGGTGGAAAAATATGAGTAATAAAAACTCACTCCAACTTTTCCTGATCTCTCAGGTATGCAAGAAATCTGAATAAATCCAAGATCATACGTAAAGAAATATAAAATCATTTATATAGAAAAGACCCTTAAAATCATTGAGTTCAAATGTAAACCTACTACTGCCAAGTTCATCACTAAACCATGTCTCTGAGTGTCATGTCTACACAAATTTTTAATGACACCAGAGATAGTGACTCAACCACTTCACTGGGCAGCCTGTTCAAATGTTTGATAACATTTTTGTTGAAGAATTTTTTGGTAATATCTGATCTGAATCTTCTCTGGCACAGCCTGAGGACATTCCTTCTTGTCATATAATCATAGACACATAGAATACCTTGGGCTGGAAAGCACATTAAAGATCATCTATTTCTAACCCCACTGCCATGGGCAGGAACATCTTCCCCTTGTTCAAAGCCTCATCCAGTCTGGCCTTGGACACTTCCGGGGATCCACAACTTCTCAGGTAACGTGTTTCTGTGTCTTATAATCCTCACAGTGAAGAATCATCCTCCCACTTGTTGGGAAAAATACACAGTACTTTGTATAGAGTAACATGATCTCCCCTGAGCCTCCTTTCCTCTGGGCTGAACAACCCCAGCTCCCTTAACTGCTCCTCATGGGATTTGTGCTCCAGACCCTTCACCAGCTTTGTTGCCTTTCCCCTGAACACACTCCAGCACCTCAATGCATTTCTGGTAGTGAGGGGCCAAAAACCAGAGGACTTGAGGTGCAGGCTCACCAGTGCCACACAGGGTGTGGGAATGCCTCAGTACAGAGGGATGAGAACATCCCTGCCTTGGTGCTGCTCGCCATAGCATTGCTGATCCAGGCCAGGATGGATGTACACAGCTCTGTCATTGCTTCTCAGTCATTGAACAATAAGCATGATTGTAGAAGATCACCAGGTGTGTCTTACATTCCTGAAATAAAAGAAACCTGAGATAAACCTGCACCTATGACTCTTTAATTTCTTTTCTCTATTGTCTCAGGTCTTCAAGAAAGGAGAGGGGACACTTTTCTTTGATTGAGTTTTGCTATAGCAGTTGAGAGTGCTTAAGAAAATCGAACTCCCTGGGAGATAAAAACATAATGTTCACAGGCCTTGCAAGGACATAATTACAATTCCTTCCTGCTGCCTTAAAATATGCACACCTTCCACTTCATGGCTGCAGATCAGACACAGAAATGGGCACATTTCAAAGTGAGAGTAGTGGAAAATGCTCTCTTTCCATACATTTTGCTTTCATCCTTAACTGTTGCTTGTCACTGTTTCTGGAAACACTAAACCCCAGAAGACTGAAGCTTTTTTCCCTGAAGTTTGAAGCTTAAGCTTATTTTCCTGAGTTTTACTTTCAATTAAACTTGAGATGTGTTTAACACTCCTTTGTCTCCCCTCTCTTTTTTATATCAGCTTACATTCTTGAAGGTTTCCTAGCTGCTCTAAGTTTTCTACAGCAGCTATTTCCAAAGAGCCCAAACAGAGAGTGACAAACCCTTTAGAGTCTATGCAAAGTTCTCTCCAAAAGAGAGGGACTTTTATGTCATTTTAGTTCATTGGCTCAGCAGCATCTTCCTTGCTGAACTACAAAACAACTTTCTTGAATCTCTTACCCTGAGGCAAGGACAAAAAAAAGCTAGCTAGACTATGGGATTCAGGTGTCACTGTGCCAGCAGAGCTTAGCAGAGCAGACCGTGGCTGATGAAATACTCCTTTATGCAAGGAGGATTTCAAGCCACATGAAACATTTCTTCTTTTGTTACAAAAGCTTATCAAGTTCCAGAGGCTTTAAAAAGTCCACATGGGAAATTCAATTTATAGAGGCACTTTAATCAATTATGTTAAAAAAAGATTCCAAAACAGTGAAAACCTATCCAAGTGAACAATATCCTGAAGAGAACAATGAAGGAAACTAAGTATCTGTGGAGCTGCTGGGGCAGAGATGAAGGTCAGGACTCCTTTGCTTCTGTAGCTGTTTACACTATTTACATAATGCAGTTATGAATGCAGTGATCCAGGCATGACTTTCAAATAAATAGCAGAGAAAACTGGGGGCAAATTAAAGGTTAGGTGTTGAAAACAGTAAAAGGTTTCCTCATTACATTGAAAATCTAGATCATCATCAATCCATCATAATTGACACCCTGGTCACAAAAAAGTAAATTTTATCAACAATTTTTTGTGGTCTCTTCATTGAATTAACAGTACCAGAGAGACAGACTGAGTTCTACTGTTGGAAAGCCCAAAAGCTGTAGGGAACTACTCAAAAGAGAACTTGGACATTAACAATGAAGTTAACACCACAAAAACAACCTAAATCCAGTGCAGTAATTTTCTATTCATTGATCAATTGTTAAAAGAAATAGATATTTTTGAAATGTTGCTAAATAGAATGAAAAGAATTGTGATAGGATTTCATGCCACAGTAAGAATTGCAAATGGAGAGAAGACACAGCATTTTATCTTATGTGGAGTCCAGAAGAGTATCGATAGGCGTTTAAATCATCTCCAGGAAGATCAATACGTATTATGAGAGATGCATAGTTTATCATTCCTCTTGACCAACAGAAGCAATGAAATACGCAACAGATACATGTAAACATTGAAATAGTATTCTTTGAGGGCATAAATATGCCTCCTGAAAAGAGAAGTCCCCATTTAAAAAAATGAAGTATCAGAAGTAAATCCATTCACCGAAGTGAGTCCATTTAAAGAATTGTGTAATTTTACATTGGGAGAGGAAGCCTCATCTAAACAGGTCTTTTGGGCCATAAAAAAAGAGTCCAGATCTGCCATGGAGGCCTGGTATTCCATTCCACCTAACTTGTATAAAGTTGGACCAAACAACAATCTCTGGTATAAAATGGTCCTTCAGAGTGACACTAAAGTATCCTGGAGCTATTCCCTTCCTAAGCCTCAGAAGAATCATTTGCACTCACTGCATCAGGTACAATCTAATCTCTAAAGACTTATAACTGCATTTGAGCACTTACAAGCATAGAACAAGGATTTGTGCAAACCAGTTACCCCAAATTTTTGTAGATTTTTGAAATTGTACTAATCATTCTGTTCTCTGCTTTTGACCACTACACCAAGATTTAAAGAATAAAAAGCAAATAACCAAAAACAGTGAAAAAAATCCTCATGAGTGAGATTTGGCTAAGCACTCAATGAGTGTTTTGAGGGTTTTTATGAAGGCTTAGCATCACAAGAGAACATTAAGCCAAATGGATGTTGTCTTGGAGAGGTCAAGCTGCTACTGAGGGAGCAATGCAAACTGCCATAAAGTGTTTGAAAATGGATGAGCTTAGTCAAGGAGAAAAAGAAGTCCATGTCACCTTTCATAGCTGACTTTCTGATGGTGAGAGAGAAATCCTCTATAAGGTCACATGGTAGCATGGACTATGTGCCAACAGGAGCACCAGGATCCTAGGAAAGCTCTCCAAGACCTGGAAGATAGAAAAGCAGAGCAGTGCAGGGCTGTGGCTGAACTAGCAGCCCAGCTGGAAAGTGAATTTTCTTATCCTGCACTCAGAGCTGCCTTGGCCCATGCAGGTATCACACGCAATGCCACAGCGCAGACATACGGTCACACACCTCTGCCCTGAGCCTTTTCGTTCAGAGGTTCAGAAACAGCCTTTAGCCCACTTTGTTTCATGAAGCACATCAAGTAGGAGCTGTAACCATTCCAGCTGACCTGGACACAACATCTTTGACCCACGGAGGACAGAAGGCATCTCCAGGAAGCAACTCACTTGCACAAAAGCTGAATCCTCTCTGAAGCTCTGTCTCTGATTCACCTCCTCCCTTCCTCCTCCTCAGCCTATCTAACAAAGATGCCTAGCCAAGATGGGATAAATGTGCAACTTACATTTTAATATCAAATCTGGGGGGAAAGCCTCCATGCTATTTACTTTCAGTCATGGAGGAAGGAGGTGATTCTTCCTAGGTCTCAAAAACTTCAGGGCTTTTGGCTGAAAGTACGCACTAAGCAATGATGGTGTACCAGTGCAGCAAGCAAACTGCTCTTAAGTGACTGTCAAGCAGCAGCAGCTACTGTCAGCACCCTCTAAAAAAAAATTAAAACCTAACATGCTTGTTATTTAATCAGCAGCCATGCACTTCGTGCTGACTATATATCACTGATGAACAAATGGATGCTAGCTTTTCCCTGAAGAAAGCAATACAGTGGGACATAAAATTAATACTGAATGTCAGTGCATATGAGTAATAGATTCTAATGTTTTTAGCTCCTTTGAGGGAGAAAAAAAATCAATTTCTGAGTAAAAGTTTGATACTTTTACACAAAGCCCATTCTTGCCAAAAGCACTCAAGCATTTTAATCTAAAAACCAAAACCAGCCATAACTTTTTCATCTAAATTGGCCTAAAAATTTTAGACTTTTTTCCTGAATTCTTATAACATTGATATAACAAAGACCTAATAACCCTCTGATCAGATGAGCTATAAATAAATTACTGAATAGTAGTGCATAATACCTTATTTCTTCAATGTACCCCTAACTACAAAAGAGCAGGTGCAGGTTTAAGGTTGACTTGATTAAAAAAAAACCTACAGATACATTGCCAATTTACACCTGGAAAAGAAATGGGTTGGCAGATGACAGTGTGCCCTGGTAGTACGTTCTTCCACTTCAACTTCCCTCCCTTGATCTTTTGTTTGCATTGCATCTATCCAGTTTAGATCTTTCCTCCTCTCTAGCTCAGGTATTCATAACACACCCATCATCTTTATATATAAATTCCACAATCAGGAACTTTGTCCCACAGGGCATCAAATTCAGCAAAGTCGTATAAGTATGAAACTTCTGAATCACTGTAATAAAGCAAAAGGAGTCTGTTGACTGTGACCACTGGCATAAAGGAGATAGCAAAGAGATGTAGGGAGTAGAGACCTACAAGAGGAACTGAACAGGAATTATAAGGAGGCAAGTGAAATACATCACCCAGAAACAGAGGGAGGGAGATCCCAAGCTGAAGTGTTCAGGTTTGAAGAGAGAAAGCCAGAGCCAAAGAGCTCTTCTCAGAGATGTTGTCTTGGAAAATCTCTAGAAAACCAGGTGTTGAATCTAGTCAAAGGGCTTTGATAATTAAAGAAAATATTTCAAAATTCTTTTCCTCACTGACCAGCTGGCAATAGTTGTCAACAAAAACTTTCCAGATCCATTTCTGTCCAATTTCTGTTTAAAAACTAAGGGCCGAATGAAGTATTCTTATCTGCTTCCTTTCTTTCCCAACTATAAGCAAGGATGAAATGCCTCCAGGCAAATACATGTGCAATTGGCATATTTGATATATTTGATTGATGTATAACTCTGTGGTTCCTGATTATACGTCTAAGAACACAAGTAGTTCATGATCCTGTTAACAGTTAAAAATGCACTGAGGGCTGAAACAAACACCTTATCGAGAGAAAAAAATAGAGGGAACATTAGCACAGTGTAAGGTTTTAAAAAAACAAGATAGCAATCCTCAAGCATGATACAAAATCTGATCAATTGTGATGTCAAAATATATATTCTTCAAAACAAATTTCTTTTGAGAACTACGGTTTCATGAAGTATTGCAGAACAGTGTGATATGACTTAACAGGCAGGGCTGCTCCATCCCCCAGCTTTTAGTAAGCAGTGGGTTACAACACACTTTCAAGGAAGCACCTGATTGGATTTCTACCCATTTGATTACAGAATTTAGATGTGCCATTTCAAGTGCTTTTCTTTTCTCCTGTGAAATTTGCTCAGGAGGGGAAGAGTGAATTTTTCATTTAGATGGTATTTCAGTAGTAACTTGTTTTACAGAACACTCACATGTTTTTTCTGAAAAATCTGGGTCCTTCCTCATCTCCTTTTCCTCCCTCAAAATCTTCTGCATAAAATTAGCTGAATAACAGTTCCATACATCTATAGTATTCAGACATGCTCAGTTAAACAGCACCTACTACAGAAGGAATGGCTTGCAGTGTTCAAGTTTAAAATAGCCAGCAGACTAACTGGTAGCAAAGGGGGACACTTTGTATTTATAGTAACAGAGCTGTCCATCATATATTAGATTGAAACTGATTGTTACTCATCCGTTAAAGTCAGCATATAATCTCTTCAATCCTTGCCCCTAGATATCTAAATACATCAGAGTTTTTTTCCTGGTAAGACAGAAATGAGCACAGTGATAGTAAAAAACCCAGTGACTGATCTAAATTTAATCAAAACCTTCCTCTGAGCTATCAAGGTAGCAGGAAATAACAGAATGAGTCACATCCTTCACCAGTGAAGGATAGTGACCAGTACTGGTTTTTCTGGAGGAAATGTCATCATAACATGAGAAAAAATTCCACACGTACAATTAGTAGCAAACACAGCAAAAACTTGACAGCATTTCCTTTTTTAGTTGCTTTTTTTTTAAGAAATGAGCAAAAAAACCCCAGAGAGATGAGTATACAAACAATAAAAATTGTTTCAAATAGCAGATCCCCTGAATTTGTGAATGCACCCAAAGATCTAGTTTAACCTGATACTATTCTCAGAAAGTGTCTCTTGGAAGCTAAAAGGAAAGTCAACACCCATAAGCTGTATTGCTAATGCATCTTTTTATGGATATTTCTTCAGCTTAAGGCTGTTCCAGCTGCAATGAACTAGGTAAGAAAGGTAACACGTTCTATTCAGAACAGAAAAATAGGTTACTGGGTGAAGAACTTCTGCACAAAAGCATCTCTACTTTGAGGTGCACCAACTGATTAAAAAAACATTACTTGACCATGCAAACACTCACCTCCCTGCAAAACTATCTCAAAACAGCCTTGTTTTTGTGGCCTGCATTTTAGCAATACCTCTGCCAACTTCCCTTCATTTCAAAGTTCACATACCTTACTATTACATAATCCTTTGAGAGTACATGTATTTAAATTGTGTTTTTCCAAAATACTTTGTCACAAGGCCATAGAATCAGGCACATCCATTTGTTTCTGGTAGACCAGCTATGAGGCACCACTTGTAGAAATCTTTTTGACTTCTTAAACATCCATTTTTTTCAGACCTTGACTTGGTTACATTTGGATACACAAGGTCCGCAGCAGATGTGCCAGAAGATCAAATTATAACAGTGCAAGAGTGTCTTAAAATGTATTTCATTAAACTTATCAGTACTTACATTAACATCAACTTTACTCTTTGAAAAACCCACTGCATTATGAAAAGTCATTCATTGCTGCAAATTTCTTCTCCATTGTCTACGGAAACATTGGGTCAAACAGCACAAGTAATTTTTCTTTACTTGGAAAGGCATGGTTTATACATATCTTTCATCTTGGTAAATTACCTAGACTGTATCATGTCAATAAAAAACCCCCATGTTTTAGGCATTTGCAATATTGTAAAAAATAGCCCAAGTCTATGAGAACTTCCATTTTTAAGTTTTTTTAGTTACATAACCTATCTTATTATATATAAATTCATATATAAATTATATTAGTTTTAAAAAATAATTATTTATTCTAAAATTTAGGCACTCGGCCACTAATTAGTTGGTGCATCTGTAATAAATTATAACCATATACTGATGCATCACTGTAGATTTTAGGATTACAAAACATAGCATGACACATCTACATCTTGTCCTTCCTTTCCAACCTTTGATCTCTGCAGCAGCTGGCAGTTATGCAAGCTACAGACAGCTGAAAAACTCTGCAAAATCCTCTGGGACATGGATAGTTGAGTACAGAGCTAATCCTCGTCAAGCAGAAACTTCCATGTTAAAGTAGCAATTTGCTTTTTTCAGTTAACATTTTTTATTGATTTTTCCCCAGTTTTAGCCAAAACCCCCAAAAGGATATTTCTGTATATACCTCTTTATGGAAAAACGAGTCTTTATTACTGAGTAAAAGCTAGCCTTTTGTGCATGGAGATGACTGCATTTGCTCATTCTACAGGATCACCCCAATATTATCATTAGATACCCATGTTTTAGTACTCTACTCACCATACAAAGTCCTTTTTCTCTAAGCTGATGAGAAAGACTGTCGTCATGGCAAAAGTTCCATACCGTCTCAGTGATTTCTCATGGACAGCTCCTCACACCACAACCAACAAACACCAACTCTCTTCACAATCACCTAACCCACTCTTTTATAGCACTCATCCTTATTTGAAACAGCTGTGGCCTATTAAGGGCAGGCCTGCTCCTAATCTTTGGTAATTAGCACAGCTGCAACTCCTCAGGGGTGAGATTGCCTTCTGCACTCTTCTCTTACATTCTATCCCCCCGACAAAAAAAAAAAAAAAAAAAAAAAAAAAAAAAAAAAAAAAAAAAAAGGTAATTCATGTGTTTATTAAGGTCAGATAAATTTCAGTACCTAAGTATTTTTTTTTAAATGTACAAGTCAATATCATAAAGAATTTGCCCGTGTAAAAATAAACCTTAACATGCTGAAAAACTCTACTGCGAGATGCAGGGCTGTTTGTTGCTCATCTGCCCATTGGACTGTGAATGTATTCTGCAAATTTCTGTGCAAGAGGATCTTCAAATATTCGATCACAGGCACTCCTGCATTCCATGTTGAAGTATTTGATTGTTTTTATGTGCTTTAAGCCAAAAATATAAACTTCTTTCCTGTGTAGTGCTAAGCTACACGCTTCCTGCTTAGCTCTAAGCAGATGTTACTTTAACCCTGTTTGTGACATGGAAACTAACCAAAACTTCACAGAACTCCTGTGTTTTCCCTTATGGCTAACTTAAATTATTGAAATATAAATCTTCATGTAATCTTTTTCCTAAGTATATTTTCTCCTTTTTCTTTTGACAGGAACCCTCTTTCCTCTTTCATATCTTCTTTACTGTTCAGTAACACTACAACTCCTACCCCTGCTAATGGTCCCTGCCTATACATCAGGCTGAGTCAGAAGGAGATTTCTGCTTTTCTAGCATCTTATTACAAATTCAAACCCCACCACCCTACTATATAGTTCATAAACTCACATTCTTTACTCTTCAACTGTATACATTTGACATCATTAAAATTTGGCACTACCAAGTGCAATCACCATTCCGATAAACACATGGTATCTCCAGTGCCTAGAGATAGCTATATGAAAGGGCAGGAATAGCATATCTGTGGACACCCTATGAAATAATAATCTCTTCAGAGACTTAATTTTCTCAACATTTTTCTTTCCCTTTTTTCCCGTTCAAAATACTAGCCACAGGAAAGAGCAATGGCAGCAACTTCCAGAGAGGCATTTGATGGAAGAATAATAAAATGGGTGGCTCAATAAGAAAACATGCAGTTCGGAGTCATACAGTAATGTTACATTTATACCTTCAGCAAGGTTTATAAGCCAGCTAATCCCCTTTGGCAAAGCAAGTTTTCCAAAGAAAGAATATTTTTCTTAGTAAGCTATCTAATTTTGTGTAGAAGAGGTTAACTGTATTGTTAGAACAATGTTAATTATGATAGGGAGTCATAACTATTGATAACACAACAGTGCTGACAATGATCCTTGCAGAGATCCACCAATATGAAGAAGACAGATAGAACCTGGCTTCTTTTATGAAGCAGGTTAAAAAAACAAATTGATTACTTTTCCTTAAGGAAAAGGGTTGAGGATAGGGTTTTCAGAGTTCTGCTTATGGATCAACCCTGCACAAGAAAATGACAATATAGTTAAGGTTAGTGTGACTTGTTCAAACTGGTAAGTGTAATGAATCAATACTTTTAAATCTTTTACAGTTACCTAACTTACAATGTCAGAAAAAAATCAGACAGAGTTACAGGATAACAAAAATGATTGACAGAGAAGTGGCATAACCAGAAAAGATAGCATATTGGATATATGTAGTAACTTATGTTACATTATGATTTAAACTGAGTTAAATGCATCTGTCATTTGCCCTTCCAGCCACAAAATCCAGCATCTCATAAAGTGAGAAACAAGAGTTAAATAATCCAGAACCTCTTAATGACTGACTCAACAAGCCACAATACAATTCACCTGTAAGAAAGGCAGAACAATTTGAAATGGGCTGTTAATTAAAAGCTAAGGATCCAAAGGTATGTGCATTGAATTTCACCAGCACTTAGTGTTAAGATAACTCTGATGTATTGTTACTTAATTGAAAACGTGAAAATAGAATTTATAAATAAACCTCTGATACTACCACAGTGAGAGAGATAACAGAACTTTTCTAAAAAATTGAAAACTGCAGTAGGCCATGATGAATAGAAACAGGAAAAAAAAAAAAAAAGGTAATTGAAAAGGATATGTTCTTAACTAGTCAAAGAAAGGAGCTGGTGATTTAGAAACAGTCAAATAAGAGTCAGATGTGACATTTCTCAGAGGTACCACAAAAATTTTAACATTGTACATTCGACTTTTATCTGGGTGATATCAGTCTCCATATGTATCATCTCTCACTCCCATAGTTTCCGTGTTTCATTGCAGGTCACATATTCATGGATATGTCCCAACTGCTGTCTGATTTTGAACAGTTTTTTAGAAGTCCCAGTACAAGCAGCTTAACCAGAGTGCAGTGCAGCAAGCATGAAAAAAATAAAAAGGGCAGGTTGTGTAACTACAGATAGTAAACTCAGAGAAGGCAACAGACAGGCACATCAACAGGGAGTTGCCCAGGAAGGTCAGGGATTCTCCCTCATTAGCAACCTTCAGTATCTGTCTGGATACAGTGCTAGGTGACCCTGCTTGAGCAGATGGGATGGACCAGATGACCTACAGAGGTCCCTTCCGACCTCAATCATTCTGTGACTCTATCAAATGAGGGGATACGGTTACCCCCCAAAAAAGTTAAGAAAGTATGTGAAGCTTACTAGTAGCAGAGTGATAAACACAAAAGTTCCTGCAAGCCTGTGCTTGCCTGTTTCATCTTTACCCTACTAAATCTAGTAAGTCTCCTTATGTACATAAAGCTGTGCTGTTGACAACACACTACCTCTAACTTCTTTAACACATTGTGTTTCTCAAAGCTACATGACCATGTTTATATAGGCTTGTTACCATTTTTCATGGGATTTGCAGAGCTTCTTCCACTGTCCCCCCCATGCCACTTACAGCACTGATTGCACCTCAAGGTTACCCAGGTGATGAGGTCATTTTTGGAATCAATGTGCTCAGATGGTCAATCTGTTTGCTGAGGGAGATGTGGATAAATCAAAAAGATCCAAGACCAATAAATTTATGTAAACAAAAAAAACAAACAACCAAAAAAAAAGTATTAGAGCCTGATAGGTACTCTCAGGTTAGCTATACATTCATTTTCATTAAAAACTGAGGAGTGCTGGGTAGACACCAAGGACAGCATGACAGATGATGGCTCATCACAGTTAGAAAACTAAGAGAAGTGGAAACAACACAGTTCCAGTGTCAGAGGAAGAAACAACCACATCACATGTGTTTACAGCCATTCTTCCTGCAAGATCTAACTTGATTCAATGTCCTAGTGAAATTCCATACAGTATACATAAGTATTTGTTTAATTGCTGATTCTCAGACTGATCCCCAGAAACAGGACATTGCAACATCTTTTTCTTGCAGTTAATAAGTTAGGTAGAGAGTAATCAGTAATCAACTCATTCCCATAGAGACTTCATAGGACACCTCATTTTGAAGCCAGAGAAATGTCATATATTATATCCAGAAACAGAGTTACCACAATCACCAGCTGCTTACCACTCCAAATGATATTTTTCTTTAATTGTGTATGTTATTAGCTGTTGAAGTTGTTTTTTTCCTTAGGACTGAAGGGTAGAAATGAAGTTGGTTTAAAATGAGAGAGTATGGCCTGTTTATAAATCAGTGTTATAACTCTGAACTAAATAGTAGTCAAAGACAGTTTACAAATATCACATATACTTTCACTTGTTATGGTCATTCATCACGTATTTCAAAATAATCAACTGCTACAACTTTTGGACATTGCTACTCAATTTTCATCCCTATTTCTCATTCAGAAGATAATTCACCAAACTAAAAACTCACACTTTGTTAGTCAATATAACATGTTTTTTGGCCAGGGTTCACTTAATTGGGGAAGATTCATATCACAAAACCAATCAGTCCAGTGGGGTCAGTTTGAAAGCTGAACACAGCAAATGATACACCTATGTCAGCAAGAACTGGAGTCTTTTCATTGTTTAGTAAGTGTATCTCAAAGAGTATTGCATTTTGAACTACAGTCCAGCAAGTATTTCACAATGACCTTTATATAAACCAGAGCATTAAGATGGAGTCCTGCAGGTCAGGGAAGTCCTTGAGCAAGGAATATAAGCAAGGATGCTATTTTGCCTAATTAGACCAATCAAGCACAAAGTAGGGGAAAGTCCCCTTGCAGCTGAGCATAAAACCTGCAGAAAGGAACTGTTCCAGTGAGGAGGCTCTTCAGACAGCCACAGAAACAAAATCCAGCTCTCCCATTTCTGGTATCAGTGAGGTAATCACTAGACTGTGACAGGATAGATTGATTATTTTTTTCCTTTCCAAAATAAGGATAGAACATCCAAGTTTTTCAAGGAAAAGAAATGCTGTTAAGTGTCTCATAAGTAGGTCTGGCCCTTTGGGGGACATAAGAGGAATGTCTAGATTCTGGATCTAAGGTAGGAGCTATACCATAAAATGCTACAAATAGACCATGATGATAGAAGAAATCTGGACTCTGGGAATGCCAGCAGAAGAAGGACATGGACTCGTTGGGGAGGAGGAGGGCTGCAAAGATAACCAGAGGACTGGAATGTGTCTCCTACAAAGACAGGCTGAGAGAGCTGGGGTTATTCAGCTTGGAGGTGAGAAGGTCCTGAGGAGACCTTACAGCTCCTTCCACTGCCTCAAGGCATGAGAGCGGAGTCTTTCTACTACTACATACAATAAAAGGAGGAGAAGCTTTAAACTGATTTATACTAAATAGTAGAAAGAAATCCTTTACTGCGAGGGTAGTGAAACACTGGAATAAGTTGCCCAGAGGAGTTGTGGGTTCCCCATGCCCAGAAATGTTCAAAGTAAAGTTGGATGGGCTTTGAGCAACCTGGTCTAGTGGGAGGAGTCCTGATCTATAGTTGGGGGATTGGAACTAGATGATTTTAAGGTCTGTTTC